CCCTCGGACCACCGCTGGGCCAAAGTTTGACAACCCACCTGCGCAGCCGCCGCCGGCGCAGCAGCAGCAACAGGAGCAGCAGCAGCAGGAGCCGTCAACGCAGCAGCCAGCGCAGGCACCCACCAACGGGGCAGCCGCCGACGGGCTGGCAGGCAGTCATGCAGCGGTTTGAGCGGCAGGCAGCCACGCGGGGCTGGATGCAAGAGGTATGAGGGCCACTGGGGTGTCGCGGCGCCGCGGCGTCTTGCGCTGCTGCCGGCCGGCGAGGCAAGCCTTGCAGGCTTCAGTGGGCAGGCTCCCCTCTGCACACATCATCTGCACGTGTAGCGTTGTAATATTGCAACACTTGTAACATCACGGCATTGTCTGTCGGTGTGCCGGCCGCCGGCGACACAGGCCGCATGCGCGTGCGATTCAGGCGGGCCGCTTGGGGTTTGGTCCCTGCTCTCTCCCCAACGCTGCCAGGGGACTTTGTTCACCAGATCAAGGCCCCACTGAGGCCTACGCTCGTGAGCAACAGCCAACCAGCAGAGGCGGGAATCAGGTAACAGCCCCACACTCACACGTTCGGCGTGGTGCCACTGCCCAGCCCTAACGGGTGTGTCCAGGTCATCCATGGCAGATGAATCCACGCCTTTGCCAGTCGCGCCCAGTCGCATGCTAAAATTTGATTATAAAATTTTATCAATCTGTTGGAAACGCAACGCTCGTGCGCCGGTCGAGTGTGATGCAGTGATGTTTGTCGCGCAGCAGGCCTCTGAAACGCGCCAGGAAGCGATATTGCCGGCAAATCCGACCCTTCCGGATGCGGCTGTGCACGCCATCGTTCTGCGCCTGTCGCCGAACGGCGTCGCCGCGCTTCGATTGGCGTCTCTGACCTGGGCTGCGGACGTAGCTCGATGCCTGCACGAGCTGTCGTGCACGCTGCCCGCGCCTGGCCAGGGCTGCTGCTGCCACAGTCATGTACAGCAGCAGCGGCGCCATACAGTAGCGACTGTTACGCAGAGGTTCAGCGGCGTCTCATCCTTGGCGCTGAGAGGCAGCCGCTCCGCGGGGCACCCAGCGGTCCCCCTGCAGCAGCAGCAGCAACAGCAGACCCCGCAGCAGCAGAGTGTGGAGGATTTAGAGGCGCTTGGATTACAGCAGCTGACTGCCCTTGCAAGGTGACCAGGCGCCACCTCCCTTCTCGCTCGTTTTCAGTTTTGGGTTGCTGCAAGGGCATGCCTTTAGAGCACGCGCTCCGGCCTTGCGAGCCGCCAAGGAGTCCGGCCCGCCATCCTCCATGAATCCTCGTGCGCATCTTTCTGCAGGCTTGATACGCTGTCTCTTGCCGTTCAATCAATCGCCGGGCCGCCCTACGCCTGGGCGCACGGCGCGCCGCCTCGTTGCTTGAGCTGCTCGGACAAGCTGAGCGCGGCAACCTTGGGCAGCCCCTGCAAACCTTGGACCGTCCGACAGCAGCAGCAGCAGCAGCAGCAGCAGCAGCAGCAGCAGCAGCGGCAGCGGTGTTTTGTACAGCCACTCATCCCCGCAGCGGCAGCCCCCAGCAGCATCAGCAGCGGCCCCCTGCCCCTGTTCTGTGGGGGCCTGGCCACCCTCACGCGCCTCACTTCCCTGCAGCTGCTGGGGCCGGGGGTGTACACCCCAACAGCCTGTGTCTGCGCGAGCCGCGACAACACAGGCTTCGCAGCCTGCTGCAGTAGCTGCGCCAGCGGCGGCAACAACCCATTTGATAGCTGCTGCCGCCGCAGCCTCCCCCGCAGCCACCCTGACAGCACCAGCAATTCCGCCGCCGACGGCGGCCTCTGCAGCGGCGAAAGAGGGGGCGGCGCCTGCAGCGCGCTGGGGGCGGAGCTGGCGCGGCTGCCCTTGATGCGCCTGGACACTGATCAGCTGGAGCTCCTGAGCCGCCCCTCAGCAGAGTCCAGTGACCTCACACTGGTGCGCATGGCACTTCCCCGGCCGCACCGACCTGATCAGAACGCATGACCACGCCCGCCACCCGCCGGCCCGCACCAACGTGATCAGAAGAGCGCGGCCCCGCCCGCTGTCCGCCAGCTCTCGCCGCCAGCGCTGCCTCCAGTGGCGCAGAAGGCTCGACGGCCTGGGGGTCTGCCGCGCGGCTATGGCGGTCGAACAGGCACTCCCAGCGCCGACCCTGGGGGCCGCCCGCCCGACGCTTTGCCCCCACCCCTGCCCACGTGTGCGTGCGTCCCCCGCAGCTGAGGAAGCTGCGCTGCCTGCGCCTGCGGGTGCCGTACCTGTCGCGCCGCGCCCTGTGGCTGGAGGTGGCGGCGCTGCCCGGCCTAACAGAGCTGCGCGTGGACGTCGCGCGGTGCGCGCCGGGCAGCAGGTGCGGGCGTGCTGCGGCTCGTCTCTTTGCGCCAGCGGCGTTTACAAAATGCTTTTGGCGCGCGGCCCGCGGTGCACGGAACAGTGTGTCGATGGGGCTCGAGCAGGCGTCGCTCAAGCAGGCGTTGCCGTGCGGCCCAGGGCGCGCATGAGGTGGCTGCAAATCCTGTGGCTTGCCAGCAGGGCTCCATCGGGGCACACCACCGCAGCCCTGGGGCGACACTTGGTTGCCGTGACGGCCCAGTGCACGACGGGTCGCCAGCCCGGCGCCGCTGCCCACCGCTCGGACAAGGCCTGGACGCTTTGTCCAGCTCAACGCTGCCCTCTGGAACATACCGCCCGTCCGGCTTCCGCCCCAGGTTCCACCTGCGGGACGCCCTGGTGCCCCTCAGCTGCCTGCCCGGCCTGCGGACGCTGCACCTGGCTGGCTTCCACTCGCTGTGTGACAGGTGGGGCGACGTGGCCGCCCACAAACCGCTGGCTTGACCTCATCTTGCACCACGCTGCCTCAGTGCATTCCTCCGTGGCCGTAGGCAGCACCTTGTACCGCCGGGCCCGCTGCAGACAGTGTCGGCGGCTGCGGGCCCCGCCACCAACGCGCCATTATGTACGCCTGCTCGCTGCCTGGCTCCATTTTTGCACCGCAAATCGCACCCCTTAGTTGTTCACGCGCCCCCTCCATCTGGCTCCCAGGGACCTGGTTTTGGCCACCCACCTGCGCCAGCTCAGCGCCCTGCACCTCCACCTGCAGCCCGGCCCCTTCCACTCCGAGCACCCCCTGCCAGGCGGCGCCGTCGGGGCCGCGGGCGCCGCCGCGCTCGCGCGGGGGCTGCCTGGGCTGGCGTCGCTGGGGCTGGTAGGGTGCCGCGTGGCGCGGGAGGCGCTGGCGCTACTGATCAGCGGCCTCACCGCGCTGCAGAGCCTGGACCTGTCGGGTGCGGCGGGGGGAGGGGGAGGG